TTGTTTTCTGCAACAATCTTTCAGCATTAAAAGCATTCACGCTGCATTTTTGCAGAATTCTTTTTACGCATTCTTTGTCCATTTAAATTTATTTACGAAAACATTCTTCTAGTTCATTTTAGCAGCTGATCAGATTCTTTGAAAGCCATGCCGAGGAGAAATTGTGTTTCTTGTGAACACGGGGGTACCAACCAGTTTGAGGAAGTCCATGAGTTTGTAGGCGTCTTCTCCAGTGGAGAGGTCGACAAAGTCCCGAGGGATTCTGTAGCTCAGGCAGGGACTGGGCTGCACCGTCACCTCGCTCGTCGTGTAGCGAAAGGCTGGSCCTTCCTGTACGGAGAAGATAGTTGTAAAGTTTCGGAGGAAGAACTAAATGAAGGGGTTTTAACGCGGGCTTTTGGGGTTTGGCGAACCTGCTGCTGCTGTTGGGCGAYCTCTCCCCCGGACGTCAGCTCGTCCCAGCTGAACAACAGCGAGTCCGTCACCTCGCCGAAGGGGTTCAGGTCGATGAGCCACACCCTTCCCTAAAAAACAATAAACGACGTGTAAAAGCAGCTCGCAAAACTTCTTGCTTTTAAAATCCCTGTATTAAAAGGAACACCTCACCTGGAAGTCTCGGTAGACGTCAAACACAACTGTAGAGCAGGAAAAAGAAAAACACTTTCACTGCAAGAACTCCTCAAAACTACATATTAAACTCCTAAAACCTCATTAATCTTTCCCCGTGYTTACTCCAGTCTGATTAACTCATTCATGATGATGATTAAAACAGAATGATTTAGTGCCGTGAAACTGAAACTGAAAAACAAGTGGAAGCTCACAGTCTTCATCCAGGAAGTTGTACTGGATGTGCTGGTGGAAGAAGGCCTGGATGGCCCCAGAGATGTGCTCCTCCTGCTTCAGGATGTGGTGGTAAAACTGCGTGTAGTCCCTCTGGGAAATCGCTGAAAAATCACACAGACACACACACACACAGACACACAAGTGAAGCTCAAATTAGAGTTCATAATTCATAATTATTCCAGAAATTAGCCGGATGAAAACAGGCACCGGTCAGACTTGGCTCATGAAATCTAAAGCTTTTCATTTAAGAGTATTTTTTTTGTCTTGATTTTAAACAAAGAGGCAGATGACAACTTTAAAACAAAGCCCTGCTTCGGTTGATTTGAGTGTGTGAGGGGAATATTTTTACCAATCAGCTTGTTCTCTTTGACGAAGCAGCGAAACTCTCCRCCAGGAATTAGTTCGCTCCACTTTCTCAGGACCAGCTGAGGAGACACGAGCAGCACGACAGTTAAAATCTGGATTTAGCTGTGATTATTAGGAAACAAAGGATTTTGAATTCAGTTTATCTTCCATTTTTCTGCATGATAACATTTTTAAGACATAGCGAAGATATTTTCAGTTTAACTTATAGAGTTTGAAGCAGTCGTTCAAATATATTGTACAAGAGTAACTTGTCTTCCGTGACAAGCTAACGGCTAATCCCTGTGACGCCAACTAGAGAACTGGCAACTCCAGCATAAATGTASTGTGAAAGGTTCCTGCTGGAAGCTGCTAAAGAAGCCGAAAATGTTTAATAGCAAAACTGTTGATGTGAGTAAAGTTTGAACAGCTGACTTCTGCTGAAAGTAGGAAAACAAAAGTGAAAAATCTGTAGAAAAAAAAATCACAATTGTGTCCAAAAAAGCTGAACAAAGCTTTGAAGCTAAAATTAGCAGAAATKATCAAATATTATCAAAAAGTGGTTTAAAAAGCAGGAAAAAGTTGAAACTGTTAGAAGTTGCAAGAAGCAAAAAATGTGAATTTACAGGAAAAAAATGATGTAGTTGAAATTTACACAAAAGAATTTAAAACAAGTAGAAAAAAAGCTAAACMTGTGACCTCGACCCTTTATTTTGTGACCTTGAAATTAATGGGGTCTACATTTCACCAGCTGAGATTAGCTGAGTAAAAAACTCACATTAGCATAAAAACAAGAAACGTACATAAAAGTAGCAATTTGTTGGAAAACAGCTGGAATACGCACATAGAAACAGAAAGAGCATATTTGCTGAATTAAGCGGTAAAAAGCTGAAATTATCCCAAAAAGGTGAATTTACCTGAAGTTCAAATTAGCTAAAAAGTAGCTAAAAACACAAAACAGCTGAAATTAGCA